CACTTTATATGATGGCACGTGTGTACTGACTCCTATTTAACATGAGTTTGAATGTGATTGCTTAATTCTGAACACAGCCACAACCCCAGTTATAAGAGGGTGTGCACACTTATGCAACCACATTATTTTCTTTTTTTATTTTTACTCGCCCCCCCTAAAAGATTTCAGTTTGTTTTTCAGCTGAGTTGTACAGGTTATAGGTCACATTAAAGGTGGAAAAAGTTCTGAAATGATTTATCTTGGTCTCATTTTTTTACATCACCAGAAACCTGGCATTTTAACAGTGGTGTGTAGACTTTTTATATCCACTGTACGTTTGTTGTAAAAATATTGTTTGTGTGTGTAAAAAATTCCTTTCAAGTACAATAAATAGATTAATAACGACTCATTTCTTACACCTTTATTGCATATGTTTATGCAATAAAACATCTTTATACAATAAAGATATTATTTTAGAAAACAACAAACAAATTGTTTAGCATAAGAAGAAGCAAAAACAACATAGGCCTTCCAAAATAACAATGTATACATTGCCAAAACTGATGTGATTTTCTATAGAGAGTCGGACTTGCAACCCGAAGGTGAACCTGAAGGTTGTGGGTTCGAGTCTCAGGTCCGGCAGGGATTGTAGGTGGGGGGAGTGAATGACCAGCGCTCTCTCCCATCCTCAATACCATGACTGAGGTGAGACCCCTGAGCAAGGCACCGAACCCCCAAGTGCTCCCCGGGCGCCGCAGCAAAAAAGGCTGCCCACTGCTCCGGGTGTCTGTTCACGGTGTGTGTGTTCACTACTGTGTGTGTGCACTTGGATGGGTTAAATGCAGAGCACAAATTCCGAGTATGGGTCACCATACTTGGCCACAAGTCACTTCACTTCACAACTATACAACATCAACTAGTATCCATGCTAGAATCCCTCTTCTTTAGATGCAGCTTGATTGGGTTAAAACTGATGAATTAACTTACAGGATACATCTTTAACCTTGGACATGGTTTCTTACCATATGCCTTGTTCCCTACTATATAAATATCTCATAAGGAACA